AAAAGTGAGAGCAGGGTTGAGGAAAGCCCTTCTCACCCTCAGTCTGTAACGGGTTTACACAGTGAAAGTGTGACGGCTTTAAATAGACCTTTCACAGCCTCTCTTTCAATTTATTTCTTCTAGTTCTGTGTTTATCTTTTGTCTATTACATTTTGATTATTCATTTCTACATTATTTTATTTCACAGAAATCCAATCTAAATCTGAGGTCTCAGTCTCATGTGGTCAAAATCTGGCCTTTAATATTTTAATATTCATAACAGTAGCTAAAAATGATATCTCTGTAAAATAAGGCACAAATTGTTTATAAATTATTAATATAAATGAATTATTCTCCATGTATCTCATTTACTGTTCTGTCTTTAAAGGTCTAAACAGACAGATCACCTTCATTTAGATCTATGTAACATAAAAAAAAAATAAAATAAAAATCTGCCACCATTTCAAAAGTGACGCAATGAAATGCAATTCCTTTAAGGGCTTTTCTATTGTATGCTTTGACCTCCTGCTGCATAATTTATTGTCCTCTGTATATCTGCCGAATGACAATAAAATTAACCTTGAATTTTCTGTCCATTCCAGGCATCTCTATTGCTGTAAAGACATTGTCCTCCGCAGGAGCACGTCTGGCAGTCTGGGTTTCAGCATTGTTGGTGGACAAGAAGAACTCAATTGTAACCAGTCCTTCTTTATTCGCTCAATTGTAGAGGGAACACCAGCCTACAACGATGGCAGGATACGGTACGAACAAGACAGTGTCTACTTTCAACAGAAAGCATGCTTTATGTACAACTACAATTCCAAAAAGTTCCATTCCAACAAAAATCACGGAAACCCATATGATTGGTTAAAGCAACAGTTCACTTTTTTTCTAGAAACTAGAGTTAAACTTTGGAGTTTTCCCAATATTTTTTAATCCAACCGGTCAATCTCCTGATATGGCGGAAGAACTTTTAGCTTAGATTAGCGTAGATCACTGAATCGGACTGACTATTAGCATGTCACTCAAAAAAGAAAAAAAGTTTCAATAATTTGCCTATATTCAAAGCCTGACACTTATGTAGTTATATCTTGTACTAAGACTGATGATTAGGGAAAAGTTGCTATTCTATATAGTTCTGTACTCTCATTCTGGCATAATAATCAAGGAACTTTGCTGTTATGCAATGATATTACACCCCATTCACACGTGCGTTAGCGTCAATGCTTCACATTCACTTCGAATGGGTAACGTCAAGCATTGCCGAACTCAATTGTGGATCCGTAAGTGTCGCTTCAGCAGCGCTGCTCACTGCAAAAGTAAATTCTTAAGTGCCAACGGAAGCATCAGCCAATTAGATCACTTTATGCAAATACCCTAGCTCTGACAATAGGCGATTGCGGGCTAATTTCATTGGCTGATGCTGCTATGATGATCGCATCAGACCCAACTTCAAACACGGCCTCCATCAAGTGTTGACGCTGAAGCCCCATGTGAATCGGGCAAAAGACAGTATCTGAAAATAGTCCCCAGCTAGGTAACTAGGTAACAGAGCTGCATCATATATATAATATCATGAATACAGCACAGTCAAATTATACTTGAAAATAATTATTATTGTCATGTACAGAAACATCAGTGCGATTTTACAAACCATAAATGTTGTTTTGCAAGTATTTATGTCTATTTAAATGTCTAAAATCTAAGATAATTCATCTATTTGTAAATCTCTGATTATAGTTAATACAACTTGGATATTATATTTATAGTATATTAATCTATAAAAAATTGCACTTATAACTGTTTTTGCACTCCTGGTTAGACCTAATCTGTGTTTCCTTTTACTTGTACATGTGTAATGACAATAAAGTTAAATGTAATCTAATAAAAATTATTTGTTTAAAAACACTAATAAATCACTGATAATTTGTGATTTATAACAAGCGACGCACAAGTCTTTCTATGGCTCAGCGTGAGCCATCGCGGGAAAGCAGACTTGAATTTAGCAGCTGATTACGGGAGGCACTGAATGTTCTAATCACACCGGTGTGATCGTATGTTCCAGGGACCAGCCAAGACTGATCATACATGTAAAAGTGTTAATAAAAGATATATATATATATATATATATATATATATATATATATATATATATATATATATATATATATATATATATATATATATATATATATATTGGAATTGGAGTTGTAAACCTCAAATAAATAACTGCCTAGTGCAATATTTTCATATTTACACTCATTCCTGCTCCAAAATACTAAATTTTTTTTTTTTTTCTAACCAGCTGTGGTGACATCCTGCTGGAGGTGAATGGGAAGAGTACCTGGGGAATGACACACACGGCTCTGGTCCGCCTGCTCAAGGAGCTGAGGGGTCGGATCACTCTCACCATTGTTTCCTGGCCTGGCAGCTTGCTATAGGACTACTCTGCATGGGGGAGGGGCTTATCACACTAACCCCACACTAGGGGGGAGAAGCTTACACAACAGACGTTAGAAATGACAACAAAAATGGTGGATTTCAGAGTCTGGACATTCCTAAAAGATGCGGCTTGTAACAAAGACTGCACTTCGGGAGCAGGAAATGACACATGGACCTCATGCAAGTACTAAGACTTTAATTGCGAAGGCGGAGCTAAGGACTTTGAATCTGCCCACCAAGAAGCACGTTTATCAGACTCCAAACCAAGGAGGCACTTACACAGCCGTCAAGGCATAAGGATGATATTTGTGCATGAGAGGAACATTGTGTCGGTTATAGGCAGAAAGCGGAGCAGTACTAAAGGACTGAAATCACTAATTCAGGAGTGAGTTTGTCAATAAACGAGTCGGAAATACAGTAGATGTATAGACATTATGGGCACTGTGCTATATGTAGTCAGATTGTGAGACTCTAATGTTGTTCGTAGAGGACGTTTGAGATGTTGCACATGAGACGGGTATCCTTCGAACAGGAGGGATCACCGGGATGTATCAAGATGGGCTGGGGGACACACGTTGCCAATTCCATTAGTTTTACATGTTAGAAAAATGCATCGAAGTGGACGCACATTCTTTACTATAAACGTCGATGTCTGAAAAAAAGAAAACAAAACAGATTCAAGCACTTGTACTTTGACTACTATTACTTTTGGTTCATTTCTTTCTCCGTTTCTATGGCTTTCGGATATCGGCTTCGTTTTGTTCGTTCTGACAGTGGTTCGTTTTCTCCATCCACCGGCATGGAGACACATTTGCCAAGTAGTTCTATCTATGTTGGTATGTTTCAGATGAAAATAAACTATAGTGAGTAATAAAAAAGTGTAATAAAATAAATAAAAATCGCAACTGAAAAAAAGCAATGTTAATAATCTATTTTAAAAATGGATGATAACTTATAATGCTTATAATGATGTGAGATTTTGGCGGCCTTGCTGACTTTTTTTGTTTACTCTGGATGAGAACTGGAGAGAGTGATGTGTGAAAGGCTCACTGTGTGAGTGCGTGTATGAGTGTGCGTGTATGTATCATCTGTGGGAAAGGTGTGTGTGCTCTGGCATCTCATGCTTTGGCTTGTGCAGTATATTGTATCTGTTGGTACCTTTGGTTCAATGATCAATAAAGTCATTCTACAAGGAGACCTGTGTGATTGGGTGTTCTTAGCATGCAGAACATTTACACCACAAATATGTATTAAAAACAGAAATTTTGACAAAATTACCAAAAGTATCATATCCACTACACATCCCAGGCCAGTATTTGGTGCTGTGTTATAACCCTGCTTCGACACACATTCTGTAATTTTCAAATAAGCCTGAAGAGTTGAATTAGCTTGATCTGAAGTGTTTAATTACAGTTGAAGCCAAATTGTGCAGGGCTGTGGACTTTGAAGACTGGAGTTAGACATGTGTTGTAAACCAACACTATGCACCTGCGCATAAACAGTCATTTAGACTGCCATTGTTGTTTTAGTAGTCAAGTACTTGCAGATGCCAAGAAACTGAACATGTATAATGCAATAATACAATAGAATGGCACTGTTTTTCACGGTTTCGATATGCATTTTAAACTCCCCAAAACATGGTTGCTTAATAAATAAATAGCCAAAATTCACTTGAAAACAAGGTTATGTAAAAAAGGTCGTCCTTCTTAGCACCAGACATACTAGACTTTGAGCACAAATTTATAATGCATACTGCATTAGTCTCACAGTTGTCAACTGTAATTGGTCAGGGAGGAAAATTGGCTTGTTTTCATTCCTTCTGGGCAGGTTTTGCGTCAGCCTTGGACCTGGCAACCCTGACTGTGTGTGTGAACTCTACTATTCAAAAGTTTAGAGTCAAAACTATTTTATATATATATATATATATATATATATATATATATACTTGAATGTCTCTAACTCATCAAGACTGCTTTTACTTAATCTAAAAATTAAATAATATTACTATTATTATTATTTTAAATTTGACTACATTTTAAAATGTCATTATTAAGCTGATAGAAAAGCTGAACTGTTACTGGCAATTGCTTCAACTGTGCTGCTTGTTATTAAAATTTAATATAATAAATCTACTATTCGTAAGTTTAGAGTTAAAAATGTTTTTTTAAATGTCTGAATGTCTAACTCATCAATACTGCTTTTCTTTAATCTAAAGATTTTAAATTATTATATATATTTTTATTTTACTATATTTAAAATGTAATTTATTCAACTGATAGAAAAGCTGATCTTTCACTGATGATTGCTTCAAATCCTATCAATATTAAACTCTGAAATGGATGTAAATGGCAAATGTGGATGAGCGGGCTGACCTTATCTGAAGGTCACTACAGTTTCTTCCATTCTCAACACTAAATCATGCTGCACACACAGTAACATTTCTTAATCATGTTTATAATCCTTTTTTGCTTCAACAAAATGAACATTTGGCACAAAAAATACCATTCAGCATTATAATCAAAACAATTATAAGTTTAAATAAATTTAAATAATGAATAAATACATTTCTAAATTAAAAATAGTGTACCCTTCAGACTGCTTTTTATTCAGGAATAATACTTTCAAGAAAATTAATGCTAAAACAATAACATAAATTGTCTCATCTTATTAAGGGTTTTGGCATATGATTAATCAAAATCTATTCACAGTTGGTCACTGACTAATGATCTTTCACTACAGACCACCTATTGGTCAACAAAGGGTCTCACCAGCTGGCCAGGGACTCATTCAGTGGCCTCCGACTGGTTCTCCTGGTCGGCGCTGCACTCCTCGCTGGGCTCGAGGTTTCCTCTGCTGTGTCTGGAGCGTTTGTGTCGGTGTCTCCTGTGGCTTTCTGCGTCATCACTATCATGACGCCTCCTACTGCTGCTACTAATGAGAGAAACCAAGAGAAGAAGGTCACATCATCTATATATATATCATCATCTTTAATGCTTATGTAAGATGGTTTGGTCCATGCTCTGGTGAACATCACCTTTGGGAGCCTTTTATGTGTGTGCGTCATTCTGCTGTGTTTGATGTGGGGTTTAATTGTACGCTGACGTATCAAACACATTTATTTGTTACAATTGTAATTTGGTGCGTCAAGCTAAATGTGCAACCCTCCTCGCTCGTGTATACATCTGAGGTGAGTGTATTGATCTTGATCTTTAATGTACAAGCAGGCAGAGCCATTGGAACCTTATTGGCTCCTTAGGTTTATTGCACACTGAATCTGAAATGTTCGCACGATAAAGAATGAATTTGACCTCATGTTGTGTCAGTAGTATTGACACACTGCCTCTGAAACTTTCATCCATCATTAAAAAAAAAATCAAACCGGGTTAAATTTTTTCTGCTGAAAAAGCACTTTGAAAAGGTGTTTTGACAGTTCAGAGCCACCGTACAAGTCAAAAGCTGAATACAGAATGCCGTCTTTTGAGCTACAGATAACCTTATGACAAACACAGTGCATAAAATAACAGCCTGATTTCACGAGGAAAAGTAATTATTTTACATTTTGTCAGTTTAGTGGCTAATTTGTACGAGTTCAGTCGTACGAAAATGTACGATTTTAAAAAGGAGGCGTGGCACCTAACCTCTGCCCTAACCCCAACCGTCATTGGGTGATGAGCAAATCGTATTAAATGGTTCGAATTAGATCTACGAATTCATACGAATTAGCCCCTGAGTCAAAAAGTTACGAATTGCCATAAGATTGCATTGAAAATAACGATAAATTGTGGCTGATAGTTGAGAACCCCTATATGCTGGATTCAGTGGCTGGCGCACCTCTGCCCTGTAGATGTTTGGTGTGTGTCCAAACATTTGACGCAATGCCTATAGACATTATAATAGTAAGCATGGTCCAATTTCGGTCTGTTGCTGTGACACGTTAATGTGGCCACCATCTATTACAATGTCTATAGGTACTACCAGGTTCTGTTCAGGATTTGTTTAAGTTTGTGAATGTGTGAAGTATTACAAACAATGTATCAAAATTCCACTGATTTCCTGAAATAAGCTTTGCAGTTCAGGATAATCCGGCGCAGCTCTTTGATAATGAGTTCTCCCATCTCTCTATGCAGTATTGGATGAGCTATGCACTACTTTGGAGAAGAGAGGAGAACAAATTATCACTGCTTGAATACTTTTTCGTAATAAATTAGTTAATACGCATCAGACTCAGTGTGCAGGGTTTGTTTACATGACAAATTTGTCGCATATTAATTCTATAAAACTGCATATGAACATTTCGAACTTCAGTGTGCACAGACTCCATTGACTTCCATTGATATTTATCCATAAAGCAGCTTTGTATGATTCTTGATTTTGCAAACTGAAAGTAGTATGTATTTTTTATTATTTATAAAATTATAAACAAAATCATTAACAAAATTGTTTGGAGAGCAAGTAGTTTGATTGTTTTTTGCCTATAGTCATTGCCGCATAGGCAAATTAATCAGACAAGCTTTCAAATTGCAGAATAAGATCAATGTGTGTTACCAGGGAGAGAAATTAAATATTTATTTTTTATTAATGATCACTATTTGCACTAATGTATATTACAAATTGCAATGGTTGCAATTAGATAAAAATCTCCAACAAATTTATGACAAATAGCTGAAACTATATACAACATACCATTATACAGAATGCTCTGGTAAAATACACTTTCAAAGTAGATTGTTGTTGATGACTTAAATTGCTGTAGTTCATTTATTTATTATCTTGCTTTTTGTATAGATGACAGCTACAGGCCAGTATGGTGTCAGAAGAAGAATTAAAGCCATAACTAAACAGGATTAAAATAGAATATAATTAAATATGTATGCAGTTAGGTAACATCAAACTGCAGGAACTTTTTCTGTTTCCTCATTTGAAACATTGGGGACATTTTAGTCACCACTGGTGTATTTTTGGTCGTCTATAGCCCCACATCCTGGTACATTTCTGACTCTGCATTACCTGCGTGAGGATCGGTGTTCATTTTGTTCTCGGTGTCTTCTTTCTCGATGTCTATCTCTTGGTCCTTCTCTTCCAGAGCTTTCTCTGTATCTCTCGCTCCCATAATGACTGTGATCTCTGTGTCGAGACGTACGCTCCTCCTCACTGTACACACATATACAAGCACACAAGTATTCAGCTCTTTTCTAAAGCCTAGCTCATTTCCTACAAAATAGCAAGGAAGATTAGATTTAATACAGGACCAAGACAATTTCATTGCACATATTACCTGTGATTTATATATTTTTCAACAGAAATATAATACATAAAATATCTTTAACAAAAAATTAATTTCAACATGGTCGAAAATGGAGCAGGATGAAGCACAAGCTTATTATTTTCCCACCCCATTACCACATACATAATTTGTCTATTAATTAAACTATTTTCTTCTTTTACTTATCTCTTCTTCTTTAAATAGCCATTAACTAAAATTTCATCATACTTTTTCTCATTTTATCATTTTCAATCACCTTCATCATTACATTCCTTTAATGATTTATATTTGTTAAACTTTTAAAATTTTAAGTTAATTAATATCCTGACATTGCTAAGAAAATATTCAGAATTCATATTGAAATATGAAGATTTAAACAATGTTTATCATATAAAGGCAGATTGACTTATTTATAAACAAACACACACACACACACACACACACACACACGCACACACGCACACACGCACATACACACACAATAGCCACTTTACTAAATGCACCGGTTCAACTGCTCGTTAATGCAAACTTCTAATCAGCCAATCACATGGTAGCAACTCAATGCATTTAGGCATTTACATATGGTCAAGAGGATCTGCTGCAGTTCAAACCAAGCTAAAGAATAGGGAAAAAAGGTGATTTAAGTGACTGTGAATGTGACATGGTTGTTGATGCCAGATGGGCTGGTCAGAAACTGCTGATCTACTAGGATTTTCACGCACAACCATCTAATTTTTTTACCAACTGAGCATTGTATCAATGCCACAGCCTATCTGAGTATTGTTGCTGACCATGTC